ACCAAATGGTTATCACTAAGTTAGGGCAAAAGTTTCTCGGTTTGATTGAGAAACATTTTCCTAGTAATAATCCTCTAAGCAAGATTTTCAATAAAAGTACGCTTAAATTACGTTACAGTTGTACTGATAATCTAGAAAAAATTATTAAAAGACATGATAATAAAATTTTAAATCAACACTTAAATCAAAGTAACACAAGTAATTCCAAAACAAAAATCAATAATGATAATAAATTATGTAATTGCAGAAATCCTAAAAATTGTCCATTGTAAAATATGTGTCTTACTGAATCAATTGTTTACCAATGCACCATTTCATCTACTGAAAACCTGGCTGTTAAGAAATTTTATATTGGTAGTACAAAAAAAAAACAACTTTAAACGGAGGTGGTATCAGCACATATCTTCTTTTAACAACAATGTATACCATAACTGAACATCCCTTTCTAAATATTTTTGGCATTTAAAAGAAATTAATAAAACCCCTACCATAATATAGAAAATATGATCCATGTCCCCTGTGTTTACATGAAAAGCTGCATATTATTTTAATTAAACTAGCGGCCCTTTCTGAAGTATAAAATAATTTTTAAAAACATCTTGAAATTCCTTAAAAATAACTTTTTGTTAAATATAACTCTATGTCTACTTCACAGTATCTAATCTTTATAGTTGCAACAGTATGTCTGTTGTGGATGTGTCTAAAATATCAATTTATCTAGAAATGAATTAATAACCCACCTAACTCCACCTTCTGACCTTATTTTTCATTTTTCTATTTTAGCTTTGATCCCTCTTTTGATTGATTAATCAGAACTTTCCCACAAATGTGTTTTGTAATTTTGTAATTTTGTTTTTCCCTCCTCCTTTTTAACTCTCAAATGAACTACCAAGTCCCAAGTAAATCATTTTCATCATAAGTTATCTAACATCAGGGACAATTTTTAAAGTTCTGAAACGTGGAAATTTTTGTGTAGCAATGTAAAAATATTATAATAAAAATATTATACATATATATATATATATATATATATATATATATATATATATATATATATATATATATAAACCTGTAGAAAAAAGACAATATGTATAAAGGAAAAAAAAACAATAGAAAAACTGTTTTGTCCAGTGTGGACTTTTTCATTGCAAAAAATGAAATAAATTTATTGAAACAAAGTATCTATAAACAAAAACCAAAATGTTGTTAGTAACTAGAAGAATTTAGAAACACTATTGTATATTCATATGGTCAACTGAAAAATTTTTCTTTTTTTCTTTTTATGCTTGAAGAGAATATTTTCACATGTAGAAATATTGTTTGTATTGTTGATTCAACTGTTTTCTCTTGATTTCTAGATATATTGTGTACATTGGTTTGGGAGGTAGTGATTCTGTCAGGGAAGGTGATATTGGGAAAAAACAGGGTGTAGATTAATATCTGGATAATATTTAATGGCAGTGCTCTTGAGGATTTTCCTTCTGATTTTTTTCTGAGTGTAGCATTTTTAAAGTCAAAATCATGATTGAATTTATTTCTATGTATGACGAGTGAATTTGTTAAATTGTTATCTATGAAGTCTCTTTTGAGCTCATAGATGATTTTTTTTGTTAATTTCTGCATGTATTGTGAAGAACAGTTTTGGCAATTTATTTTATATATGCCTGCTTCAGAAATATTATTGCAATATATATATTGCAATGTGTGTGTGTGTGCATATATTTTCAGTTTTCACACATACACACACACACACGAAGACAAAAATCATATTCAAGAAAGGCGGAAATAATCTTTCACACAAAACAATTTTCAGAGGAAAAAAAGGAGTGTTTCTGTCCACTCCTGATGTGAAAGAAGTTTTACATTAAAATACTTCACTTACTAGTGGCACCAGTTGTTATCAATAGTAGACCAGGATTTTAAGAAGTCAGCTGTGTCTGCTTATGTTAAAACAATACTGCAAGCCACAACATAAGTGGTAGCTTTTATACATGAGAGAGGAATGAATCATCACCTATCTCATAAGGAAGGGGGATTCTTTCATAAAAATCACTTGATTTTCATCCTGAAAGCATGGATCAAGATCTTCAACAAGTTTTTCCATGTCTTTGCTTCTATAAAATGATAAAATCTTTCCTACTATTAAAAACAGTTTTTGTTTTACCATTTGTAAATGTATAAGATCGTCTAAAAATTTAAGTGGATTTAATTCAAAAAGAATAAGTCCAAATTTTGATTTGATTGGCATTCGTTCATTTAATTATTTATAGCATTAACTGAAATAATCATAAAATATGACTTAAAAATTATAAATAATATGACGCTATAAATGTTTATTCATTTTATAACAAAATCAAAACTGTCAGACTTAAAATAAAATTAATTATTCCAAATTACATAATTTATTCTAGGATTCTATAATTGTATTGGATGCTTATATGATTATGAATAATAAATTTGTTTCACCGTAGACTATATGCTATTTAAAAAAAATAAAAAAACAATGAGATGTGTCATATATGAGGAAAATTTTAAATTTTTAACTGACTGTGATGAGGAATGCAGAGAGGAATGGACATCCAACAAAGTGAATATGAAATTAGAGGAAAGGTATTCAAAGATTTCTAATCTAAGTACTTGTACATTATGATTAATGACTAAATGTCGATAAAGACACTACTAGCAAGAAATACTACTAATAAAAGTGAAACAATTTGTTTTTGTTTTCAGAAACAATGTCAAAGAAAAAAGCTGTTAGTGTTAAAGTTTAACACTAACAGTGAGTGTTTAACAGTTAAACCTATGGTATGCTCAAGCAAGAGTATCTATACTCAAAAACACACTAATTCTCCTATGAGAGAATTCAATCCCTGAAAATATTGAAGTCTGTACCTTTCAAGATACTGCTTTATTCTATTCTGGGGTGACAGAAAAATTGTCTTTATTTTATTCAATCTCTACAAAGATAAACTTTTAACAAGGAATATACTTATAACCACAAACGACTTTGTTAAGAAGATAAAAAAAAGGAATTAATTAGCATGTTTTAATTGTTCTGTATTGAATTTCAACATTAAACAATATAAAACTGACTTAAAAATATTTAGTGATATTCATTTATTATATAATGTTATCCAAATTATTAAACCATCTTTTTCAGGACCAGAAGAGGAAAATTTCTATTATTTATGAAGTTCTTGGAAAATTAATAATGACATTTTTGATCAATTCCTCTAATTTTCCTGGCAAAATCTTAGAAACCATTCAAAAATAATATTGAATTAAAATAATATTTAACATTCTTAAATATTCAAAACTTTTTATACATAAAACAAATATATTTCTAGCTATTGGCAAGTTTCAGTATTGTAAAAATTGGCAATTTAAGATATAAAATATTTTTATGAAATTCTTAATTGGGTATTTTTAATTTATTTTTAACTTAATTTCTGTTTATCATCTTGAAATCATTTTCATATATGATAAACATTTCCTGAATATAATCTGTAAAATTGATTAAAATCTTGGCAATAATAAAAAAAGAAAAAATCCTCAAATTTGTTGAATATTTTCCCATTATGAAAAAATTAAAATGCAAACATAATTTTACAAAAATTTTAAATTTTTCTCTAATTTAACATCAGAAACAATTTTGAAATAGCAAATCCAAATACTGAATTACTTTCCTTTCCTTATATTGCCTAGCCTAGCATCTTTGAGTACATATTTTTTAGAAGTTGGAAATGAATCACGGTCAGACTATAAGACCAATTTCTGTTTTTGGTTCTTGTGGGTTATCTATCGCCACCTTTTCTTTTTTTTTTTTTTTTTTTTTTTTTGGTGATCTTTTAAAAAAATTTATGTTGTATTTAAAATATTTTTTAATTATTTACTGTTTTTGTTTTTTTTCTTTTCTTTTTTTCAGGCTGCTAAATGAATCTTTAGTTTATTTCACACCTGTGTGAAAAGTTGGGAAAATAATTTTAAAAAGTGGCGACAGATATCCCACAAACAAGTACCCTTTTTCCTTTTTCAATGCTTAGGTCGTATTTGTCATGAGATACATAAAATAAATTTACATGTTTTCTCTCCTCGTCACAAGCGGTCTTAAATTTTAATCGACATTGTCAAACAAACTAAAAAAAAGCAATTCTCAGAATTCTTACCCATTCAAGATACCAAACTTGTATTCTGGCAATAAAAGATTTGAAAAAATAATAAAAACTGTTTATTATTTTTATTAAGAAGGCATATTTAGATACAATTAGGCTTAAATATGAAAATGAATTTTTTTAATAAACCAATTTTTTTTTGCAAACGTTTGTTTTTTTTTTTTTTCTTTGTTACTTTTAGTGCCAAGAACATCATTTTTATTTTTTGTATTTCCATAAAAAAAAACATTTTCTCTGCAATTTTTATTCAACATGACATTCGGTTTGTTTTTAAACGGATAGTTTAAGTATTTTGTTTTGTCTTGACTTTGTTGTAATAAACAAACACTGTGTGTGTGTGTGTGTGTGTGTGTGTGTGTGTGTGTGTGTGTGTGTGTGTGTGTGTGTGTCATTGCGTAAAGGCATTTTTGTTGTATTGTAAAAAAAAATCGGGTAAATTTTAAAAAGCTGTTTACCTCAATAAATGAACTGTTACAAATAAAATAAAGAAAAAAATCTGAGAAAATCAGAAAATAAAATTTAAAAAATCGTAAAAACTAACTTTTACTTTCGCGACAGCAGTATAAGCAGCACCAGCACATATTTTGAGTTAACATATTCAAAGTCAAACAATTAAATTAGAATAAATTAAATAAAAGATCATGGGTAAAAGTTATTTAGTTAAAACATTAAAATAAATCAAGAATGAATTTCTTTTTCCATTTGTAGAAGAAACTTTTCATTCATGCATCAAACTTTTTTGTTTGTTTAATTGTTTCTTCTATCTATTTGCACAAAGCATACTTTGTCGGCTATTAAAAATGAAACACGAGCACAAAAGATACCAACCTTCTTTTCCCATGCTATTCTTTATAATTCCAATAGATAAAAAAAAAAAATGTGTAGAAATCCAAAGCAAAAAGAAGTTGGTCAACGCATCATCATTTATTCTTTAACTGATGAAGTTAAGTTTCTGATTACGGAAACTGCCGATGATTGCCGAATGTCTCATAATGGTTATGATAACCAAGTCTCTTCAATTGATACGGTTTTACTTTTTATAGCCAACATTATTTGGACATTCAAGTTTCTTCCCTTTTTAAATTATTTCACTCCACGCAAGGTAATAAAGCCACTAGGACGCAAGGGGGTTACCGAGTGTTAGAGAATATGAGAAAAGCTACTATTAAGGACAATAAAAGAACAAGACAGAAGAAGATAACGACTGAAATTACATTTAAGTTTTTGAAGATTAAAGTTGACTAGGAAGCAAAAAAGCTAAAAGAGAGTTCCACAAGCGAGAAGTGTGATAGAAGAAACTGTTAGCATAGAATTCATGGTTACATGTAGCCATTTCAACTGTAAAATGGTGAGACCTAGCCGCCAATCTAGTACTGCGCTTAAATTCATAAACTAAAGTCTAGGTAGTATAGTGGAAAGTTCATCAGAACAATTGTCATGAAAGTATTCATAGAAAAGGCACAGGGAAACTACGTTATCGTAGTGAGAAAGGGACTGAAGCCGAGATGCCAGATCAGGACCAATAACATTGCAGTTTTTTTTTAATTATTTTATCAAGAATAGTAGGAGCACCAGGTCAGATGTGGCTTCAATATTCAAAGCAAGAACGAATGGTAGACTTATAAATATGTAAGATAGATTCTGGCAATAAAAAATATCTAGCACAACATAGTGAACCAACTTTCTTAGCTGCAGATTTAGCAATTGATTCCATATACTCTTTACACTTCATGTCAGCTGAAACCGTTAGTCCGAGAAGATGCAATGCATCACTCTCCTGGAGGTTAGCATTAGCCATGTTGATGGAAAGTAAAAATGGTTCTCTCAGATGATTAAAAGAGTTTCGTTTTTGAGGTGTTAAAATTAACAAGCTACTCCTTACCCCATTTAACAACAGATTGTAGGTTATTTTCTAGATCAATTTGACCTTATCGAACTCATAAGACTTACAAGACAGAAATAAATAGTTGTGTCATCGGCATAGATACCTGATGATTCTCAGGGAGTTCATTTATGAAAATTAGAAACATCATGTTGGATTCACTTCTTTTTTTCTTTCTTTCTTTATTTTTAAAACCATTATGGACACCTTCCCTCCAAGATGGCTTCCCTCTTGGTGGCCTATATATACATAAGGCTCGCTCAATGATTCACCAATAATAATATTATAACTATTCCCATGTAAAAAAAACTTAGCAGTGCCACCTGTGTAGATCTGCCTTTTCCAAATTTTCCAGACATTTTTCCAATGAGAGTTAACGCAACATTAATTATGATTCTTTTTATTTTATTTTATTTTATTTTCTTTAATTATTTATTTATTTGACAATTGAAAAACAAACAAACAAGCAAAATGAAAGAATTCAAATCATGATTGTCAACCGTCTTACTTGGACAGTTTTCAATAATTCAAAACTTGAAGCGCCACGCTTAGTGGATGCATTGGCATCTCCAAGAATTTATCTCCAAGAATCAATTGAAACTTAGCTATTTCCTCCTTGTTCAACATTTCCTTGATTGCACCGACGTCATTACACAAACGTTTATCATCCGGACTACACAACCGATTTGTTGTCAACTAGAGCTTCTACTCACACAATCTGCATCCATGAGTTCCATAATGATTTGTCTCAGATAGATTGCATAAATCTAATGCCGCTGACAGACTCAACATCTCAGCAACCAGTACGGATCTTACAACTCGCTTTATTTTTTTTAACTTGCAATGACGGCATTTCTTTTATTCTGTCCAACCAACAAAATGAAGTGTCCTCCTGCACTAGAGACATCACTCATGTTTGCATGTGCAGCATCAGAGAATATCACAAGCTTCCAATGGCCCATGTTTCGGGAACATGATCAATGACTTGTTTGAGTTTGAGTAAATTTTTATATACCTTTGTCAGCTCAGAAACATGGCTTTCTTTAAATTTTGAACTCAATTCTACAAATTTATATGCGATGTCTGGACGCTTTGGCTATCCAATTGCATTGGCCCACAAGGCTACGAAATTGCTTTTGTTCTTCTGCCATCAGTGAATTATTCTTCTTCTCCAGGTTTGTTCCGTGTTTCATCTCTGCCATTGACATATTTTTCATGATCAAGTATGGCCTCACCTCTGCTTTTGTTAATTTTGAATTCTATATATTCAAAAATACCCTTTTCTTGCTACCTAACAAGCAATAAACCAGGACATGAGTAGCTTGATCTTATCGAACTTCTTATTTTTTGCATACAGGAAATAATCAATATGTGTGATGAGAACACCAATTTCTTCACTATCTTCAACTCTGAAAAACAGTGATGAATAACTTAGATTGTCTCATTCCTAGATTCACGAATTTAAACAAAAATACAACTGAATTCTAAAGAAAGGAATACACTTGCCAAGATCCTTTGTTTTGAACTTCTGAGCAATGCCAACATTACAAAGCCAGAAAAAAATGTTGATTTTATCAGGCATAAATTTTGTAAAAAGAGAGAGTTTATTTAACCAAGCAAAGAAATCTCTGAATCTAGAAATAGAAGGTCTGCCGAGACAACGAATTTGTCCGCAGAATTGCGTGCGAAGGAATTTCGAAATGCCTCTGATCGGTAAATCGCACACGCCACATCGTCGGATGTGAAAGCCCTGATGATGAACGTGGGCTTATGCAGCGAATTGTGTATACCAGGGAGCCCGATCTCAGTTCGACTCAATTCGACAACTGCTTGACAAACTTTCCTTGCCTCGAGGTAGCTGGTTGCGGGGTCGTATAATAGAGGAGGGAATCTGGGAAGTGTTGAAGTAGGCCGGAAAGAATAAAACTCCCATCATCTATGATTTACTTTACAAAGCCTATGTTATCCCCTAGCAGGAAATTCTCTTCAACTATTGGATAGAACGGGACTATTCCCCGATGTTTCACCAGGTGTGTGGTAAAGTTTCTACGCAAGAACAAATATAGAGGGGACGGAATTAGCAATTGTCAGCCCTTATCGATGCTTAACGCAGAGTTAAAGATTTTGATCAAGGTACTGGAGAACCGTTTGCAGGTTGTGTTCGATCGCGTCATATTTCCTGAACAGACTTGTGCTGTAAAATGTCCAACGATTCATTTGGTGCGCACGATCATAGAAAACATGGACGGAAAAGCCGCGCTGAAGCCTTTGATCATCATTTCTTGGAGGCTGTCTTGTCTGCAGCCATATTAAACCGTGCTTTAGCTCCTGGATTCGCCTTTTGTATGCGAAACCTGGTGCTATGGCGGAGCTGAATGGGGTAAGATCAAAGCCCTTCATCTTGACCAGATCCATTCGTCAGGGCTGTCCTCACAGGAGCTTTTCCAGTAAAGGTTGAGGGCGAATCCGGTTCTTGGCGCGATTACATTAATTGGTGTCACTTTCTCGGTTAGGTACACCACCTACGCTGACAATTTTTCAATGCTTTTAACGAGTATTGCCGAGATTGACAAAGTCGGTAAAGAAATGTATGTAACGGCCACAGGGACCAAAATTAACTGCGATAAGCCTGTAGGATTGCGTTTGGACGGGTGGGTCTTGCAAGTTACTAGGCATCTAGTTCGCAGCTGGAGAAGAATTAGTCGGAAGTTCTAGAGAAGGTTAATCTGTGCTTCCGAAGGAATCTTTCCTTGCAAAGAAGGACCGAGGTGTGCGTTACGTACATTAGAGTAGGTCAATTTTACACTTTTTTTCCCTAAATCAACTTTCGACAAATCTAGTTAGTTGGGGCAATGAGATAAAAATTCACACCAAATTGTAGATTCTTAGCTTTAAACCCCCTTTTTAGGAAATGCAATCAAAAATCGGCATTGAAAATGCGTTTAAAAACGCATTTTGGCAATATTTGATTGAAAAATGTTATTATTTCAACAGTAAATAAAAAAGTTTTCTATTTTAATAAATAATTTTTATATTACATGAAAACTATTTCAATCCAAATATTTATATAATCATGTCATCAAAATTTTCAGTATTATAGTTTTTAGAAACAAAGGAAGTCTTATCTGGCAACATAAGGTTTTTGCTTCAAATCCATAAACAACACGAGAAGCTTCAAATGGTAATTTCACTGCTCTTTCAACACTAAGAATGTTAAGGAAAATCAGACAACAATAAGTTTTGTGTTATTTATAAGAGATGCTTGAATTTCATATTCTGAAAAATTTCCATTTTGGGATAGATTTGTAACAGGGTAGGGGGTAAGGTTGGGTGTTGATGTATTATTTAACCCCGTTGTTATTATTTGTTGACTGTAACAGGGTTGATGATATTAAATGACAGAAATTAAAATGCATAAATGTAAAACAATAACAACAATAAACAGTTGAGACATGTGTTGACATACATAACAAGAACTTGTATTTTCTTTTTGTGATGTGAATTACAGAATATTGGTATGGTGTATGTTCTCATTGTCTCATTCGTTTAAAAGTCACTGATTACTTGGTTTAGATCCGAGAATTTCGTTTGTGAGGATGCTGGCAGTTGTGTGTTTATTGCTACTTCTTACTAAGATTAGCAAGTGGACCACTGCTTTTCATCAATAAAATTCTACTTGTGGCAAATCTTGATAGTCCTTTTCACGTCACACAATTTACCTAGTGGGCCTGTAAAAGCAGTCGGGCTTTTCTGTGGTGTCATAATTTAAAAAAAAAAAAAAAAAAAAAAAAAGTTATGAATGGTAGCCCATTCTGATGTAATGAACAAACAATTTATTGTAGTGTAGTGTACGTAATTTTCAATGTAACTTCTTCAGAACATTCAAGGCCTGCCTTACATCCAGTATTTGTATTTGTGTCGTCCAGAAGAACAACCTGCATCAAATTCTTCCAAAACAC